CCCACATACACACACACACACACGTACGTAATGTATGCATCGGAGGTAGAGAAAGTTGAAGAGGTTTGTTCAGCGTGATATAACTATAATATATTTATTAAATTACCTTTTAAATAAAAATACATTTCTTTCGAGAGTTTCATTTCGATAAAAGTTCATCTTATCTCGTTTTTTACGTTTAACACAGTCTTTGCGAAAGAACAGAAATACATAATACGTATTATGACGATTCTCGTTGCAGGACTTCTCTCGTCCGTAACCGACGCGTTAGATTCTTGCATACAAAAGGGCGCATTGTCCACAAACGCGGATTCAGCGTCTACCGTTTGAGTATGCATGTAAATGCAAAATGGCGGGGAAAGAGAGAAAGGGAAAGTGTTCTTGCATACGCAGAGCGAATTTCGCTGTGGAGGAAAAATCGCGAGTTCTCTCCGGAGCGGAAATGTTCGTGTTAATAAAGAAATAGCAGCTTTGGCCGAGATTTTTCGCCGTAGTTAAATGCAACTCACTCATTGGACATTCTTGTCGTTTCATCGTCGAACCAATGTCGTTCCGGTGACTTCTTTTCGAGAGAGAGAGAGAGAGAAAAAAAAAGAAAAGACAGAAGAGAGAAAAAGGTAGGAACGGATGGTAATTTCGGTTTTTTAATATTAGCGCAAAATCGATTTCTTTTAGAGTAATAATAATACGAGACGATGAGCTTTAGTTTCGCTTCAGTTTGCGACGCGATTCCAGACATGCAGTGCGAGTCGAAAATTCGTCTGGAAATTCGGCCATTTCGCCTGCAATGGTCCAACAACGCGTACTCTACGAGAAAATGGCGGAGTTACGGAATCTGCGGGCTTCCAACGCGACTGTACGAGAGGTAGAACACTTTAAGGTGAAGGGAATACATATTTATATATTTTCATTTCTAAGACACCTTGGAATTTCATCGATAGAGAAGAGAAAGAGAGAATTTTCCTTCTCCTCTCTTCGCGCACATGATGTCATTCTTATTCGTTGTAAGAACGATTGTAATTTGTTTAATTCGGTCGATTGACAAAATGGTCCGTCTTCGAACTCGGAATCGTCGAGAACGTGCTCGTGTTTTTTTTTATTTTTTTTTTTTTTTTTTTT